TTCTAAAGATAAAGCGGTTGTTACCAAGTAATGAACAAATAAGTGAAACATATCAATAAGTAATAATTTTACTCCTGTAACCATGGTAACCAGTGTAATTTACAGAAATACAAAACAGTATTGTAGATTGTCAAGATAATATACACATGACATTCAACATTGGTTATTGTGCAGTGTGTAGCCAACCTTCAGACTACACAACATCCAGCACAAGATCCCATTTCTATTCAACACAAGAAACTTGTTATTGGTAATAATGTACCACATGTTAAACCAAAACAGAACAAGTGAACATGCTTGAAATAGCAACATTTGTGTGTATTGGATGTACAGTCAGATAAACTTAATGCATGTGAGAGGTTGGCTCTTGAAATCAGATCCTTTATGTATTGTTGTAGACAAGCTTAGAACATAAACATCCATACCTTTAGACCCTATAAATTACTGACTTCATGATAAACTGACGACCTAGGATGTGGAAGTTATGGCCAAGAAAAACTTCTATATCTCAGAGTCCAGTGACACCCTGTTTGTGTCCGGATGACTACTGTTGGGATCAGGGCTGGGACGATACACCAACTTTGAGATCCGATACGTATCACGATACCTTACTCATGATCCCATATGTATCACAATACTTGCATGTTCTCCTAAATGTGGTGAGTAAGCCATCTTTTTCATAGACAGGACGGCCAAATACCTGGCACCTGGCAGTGTCATCAATGGCAACCGGTATATATTGCATAATTATTATCATCAGTTAGATAATCTAAAAGTCAAAACATGACATGATGGTCAACTTCAGTGATAGATGAAGATATGGTTCAGTACATAATCTTGAAGTATGATAAATTGCACATAACACAGGGATTAGTGATGTAATATGGTTAATAAATGTGTTCAAAGATCGATGTTGTGTGTTGGCAATTAAGGGTTAGTCTAGACAACTGTTACACACACACACACACACACACACACACACACACATACATACTCAAATTCCTAAGCATAAAGATCTATTCAGAATACAAACCAAAGTAATTCTCAGGAGATAAAAAGTTCAATTGTAACCTGAATATAAGCATATAAATATATACAGCATTAAAACATGGCAGGTTAATATCATAAGGCCACTCAGATTTTATTGTTCATTTCATTGTCCGCCAACCCTACTGAAAAGCAGCCGGGAAAAAGAAAGAAATTAAACATAAAAACATAATTTTTTATTATGTTTCCTGCTAGTAATATAGACCCGCCTAAAACAAAAAAAAGTTTCATAAAAAGGCCATGTCCACATCACTATCAGTGATCCAAGAAGCCAGCTACACATTTATCTCCACAGCAGAATCTGAATGATTTTCATATAATTATTTATTTTTATTTTCATTTCGAACGACCTTGTGTGGAAAAGCTTAATTAAATCTGTGAAACATAAAATTTAAAAAGTGTGGCCTAAAGGATATAAATACAAGCCTCCCATTATGACAAAGATCACACAATCTACTTAATCACATCAGCTCAGATCCTGCCCCAGGTTAACGCCTGGCATGAAGCGGTATCAATCACACACCCAAGACAGTACATAAAGGTGACATGACAAAAAGAAAATGATTGTTAATAAACTCTTGTATAAAAAAACTCTTTGACACATATTCATATTTGCATAGAAACATCACATCTCTTTGTTTAGAGTTACCCTGTTATTTAATGTCAACTTATGTCAACAAAGAAGTCACTTCATATGGTCAGTGTAGGATACATACTTAGATCCTAAAGTTTGAGACACCCAAAGAAACTTGACTGTGAAAATGTTGATATCTCAAAGAGATTATTTTGTCAAGAAAATTCATACTTTGTAAACTTTCATAAAGCTGGTAGTCGGAAGTGCTTATGAGTGTGTCAAAATTACTATGGTTTCACTTTTATATGTATGACATTAGTTTCAGGGTAGAGAATATGATGATTAGAGCTCTTCTTTATTGACTTGAACTGTAAAACCTCTGGAAAGTTCACTTTGTCACATGGAAAACACATAGACCTGTTACCCCATAATAAATTTGACATAAGACAACTGTTCGGTCATGTGTTACTTTCTACTTGAGAGGGAGAAGGTGTGCACACATAACCTGGCCTCAAGCAGTCACACACTGTACCTATAACATTAAACATTATTCAAAACTAAAACATTACCCTGCAAAAGCAGTGATACCAATAACTGATATAAGGGTTCTTGTCAAAAGTAAATATATGAATTTACTTAGCTTTGTTAAAGGTGTAACCAATCATAATGACAAAGCACCATCCTCCAATACTTCATAGGCTATTATACACTATGTTCGATTTAACTCCTTGTAACATAGAATCTGAGCACTGACAATATTAATGATGATAAAGTGTGTTACGCAGATGTATTTACTTATTATGCACTTGTATTCAATGGCCAGGACACAATTTAATAAATATCATAACGGAAAACAAATTATTTCCATAAATCCATACCATGCTATACAGAGTACAGTGTTGTAAACAAAATCAATACATCAGTACATACATTATTCATAAGTTGTTGGTTGGTATGTTTTACATTCACTATAGCATGTATAAATGTGTAAAAGTTAAAGTAACTAAATATGCAATTTGCACAAAGAACCTATCCAATATTGCTGCCATTAACCGATGGCTTAACTGGACAAAAAGGTTTTCTCACACTGTCGCTTAAAAACAAGATCCCTGTCACTGTGCTGTAGCCCAGGAGAAGGAATAAGACCTTCAGCATACGATCGTGGTGAGAATTAAATTCATGTGGTAGTACCTCAAAGAATGTTATATAGAGAAATGTTCCACAGGCTAAACCTTGAAGAAGGCCTTGCACTAAACTTGAAGCAGTTGAGTCCCATAGATGTATTATTCCAATGCCAATTCCAACGCCAAGTGGCGCAGTCATCGAGAAGAACAGAATTGAACGCAGCATAAGTTTTGAAGAGAGATTTGTCTGCACGAGATTCATGCCCAAACTGAAGCTTAAGATGCTCTTGTGGAGAACTAGGGCTGCAAAAATTCCCAAAACATTCCCTGTTTTAGTTTGTAGACCAACAGCAAGTCCTTCGAAAATGGAATGGAGTGACAAGGCTACAAGGAGCAAGAAAGCTCGCATAGGAGAATGCACATGCTCTTCATTTTGACGAGTGTGATGTGCACGGCTGCCTTTGTAATTCGGATCTTGATCCGTTTCTGGTTCTTCGTATTCACTTTCTTGTATTTCAGAATCGTTATGTTCAATGTGAGGTTGATCACTTATTCCCGCTATAGAATGTTGACTCCGGGTGGATTCTGTTGCACTTTTCTGCCAGTCGTCACCACCTCCTGCTAAGAGAGGTGCTCTGTCACCTCGCGCTGAAGAGCGTCTCTCTTTCACAGAAATGACGATCTGTTCTGTGATCAAGACTGCAAATAGCCCTATGACCATAACAAACTCTGCCACTGGAAACCCTGTGTAGATTTCCATGACATCTAAAACGGTCGTCAGTTCTCGGCGCACATCGGGAAGAAGGTCCAGGAAGCATGTCGCTAGGAAAACACCGGCGGCAAAACAGCTGAGAAAACTGATAACACGTTTGTAGCCAGGTCGCGATTCCTCGGAGTTGCCAATTTGTGTCAGTTCACTGTTGAAATTTTGAGAGGATGACTGTCTACGAAAAACTCGAATCAGTTTCAACGGAATGAATCCTAACGTAAACGTCAAAAAGAATAACACGAAGAGGACGATAACCTTAACAACTAATAGCGATAACATTATAAGCGGCAGTTCACTGTCATGCCTTGAGTGTCAGTACGAAGTCGCCATTTTGCATCACGTGATGAATCACGGTCACATGATCGCGGCCACGCATGTAGACTTACTGCGTCTCTATTTAAAGGGGCGCTAATCTCTGGCTTCTTTCTGCTGTCTGACACTGCCCGTTGGGGCTCACGAGCTGCCGTGCAAGTCGATTTGCTCGCTAACGCAAATAAACTTTGAGTCGAAATCTATGCACATGTAGATCTATACGCATTTCTGAACACTGATCGGTTACCCGTGATCTTTGAAGATTTTGATATTACAAAGGGTGCATGTTAATTAATTTCTCCAACCTAAACAAACAGGCAATAACAACGGTGGAAGCTCATCGGACGTCGTTATTAATTTTGGAAATAGCCCTGATGGTTACAGTTTAATTTTAAAAAAGTATCCCTGCTATGAAAGCATTTCGGATTGCGTGGATATAACGATCGCTACTCTCTTGTTGTCCATGTGTCCTGGTAGAACCCTACACATGTGATCGTAGTCGTCATTGTCGTGATGCTCAGTTAATCAATTTATTACAGCTATAATTAGTGGTAGCACCACTCAGATCACCAAACAAAGGTTCACATTTTGCATTACAAGATTTTATATGATAAATTTGAAGAACATTATCAAGTCATTTCGAATAGATTTTTTAAATACTGTTACTAATCAGCATCTTTATTTTCAGACATTATGGCTGGATATAGAATAGGGGGAATAGTTTGAGCCTGATACTCAAGAATCGGATATAGAATAGGGGGAGTAGTTAGAGGCTGATACACACGAATCGGATATAGAATAGGGGAGTAATTTGAGCCTGATATCAAGGAATTGGATATAGAATAGGGGGAATAGTTTGAGCCTGATACTCAAGAATCGGATATAGAATAGTGGGAGTATTTAGAGGCTGATACACAAGAATCGGATATAGAATAGGGGAGTAGTTTGAGCCTGATATCAAGGAATCGGATATAGAATAGGGGGAATAGTTTGAGCCTGATACTCAAGAATCGGATACAAAACGGGGGATGGGAAGGGGGGGGGAGTAGTTTAAGCCTGATACTCAAGAATCGGATATAGAATAGTGGGAGTAGTTTGAGCCCGATACTCAAGAATCGGATATAGAATAGGGGAGTAGTTTGAGCCTGATATCAAGGAATTAGATATAGAACAGGGGGAGTAGTTTGAGCCTGATATAAAAAAAATTGGATATAGAATAGGGGGAGTAGTTTGAACCTGATACTCAGGAATCGGATATAGAATAGGGGGAGTAGTTTGAGCCTGATACTCAAGAATCGGATATAGAATAGGGGAGTAGTTTGAGCCTGATATCAAGGAATTAGATATAGAACAGGGGGAGTAGTTTTAGCCTGATATAAAAAAAAATTGGATATAGAATAGGGGGAGTAGATAGAGGCTGATACACAAGAATCGGATATAGAATAGGGGAGTAATTTGAGCCTGATATCAAGGAATTGGATATAGAATAGGGGGAATAGTTTGAGCCTGATACTCAAGAATCGGATATAGAATAGGGGGAGTATTTAGAGGCTGATACACAAGAATCGGATATAGAATAGGGGAGTAGTTTGAGCCTGATATCAAGGAATCGGATATAGAATAGGGGGAATAGTTTGAGCCTGATATTAGATAATTGGATACAGAACAGGGGGAGTAGTTTGAGCCTGATATCAAGGGATTGGATATAGAATAGGGGGAGTAGTTTGAACCTGATATTAGAAATAGAATGCGGGGGGGGGAGGGGGGGGGGGGGGGGGGGGGTCGTTTAAGCCTGATACTCAAGAATCGGATATAGAATAGTGGGAGTAGTTTGAGCCTGATACTCAAGAATCGGATATAGAATAGGGGAGTAGTTTGAGCCTGATATCAAGGAATTGGATATAGAATAGGGGGAATAGTTTGAGCCTGATATCAAGGAATTAGATATAGAACAGGGGGAGTAGTTTGAGCCTGATATAAAAAAAATTGGATATAGAATAGGGGGAGTAGTTTGAACATGATACTCAAGAATCGGATATAGAATAGGGGAGTAGTTTGAGCCTGATATCAAGGAATTGGATATAGAATAGGGGAGTAGTTTGAGCCTGATATCAAGGAATTAGATATAGAACAGGGGGAGTAGTTTGAGCCTGATATAAAAAAAATTGGATATAGAATAGGGGGAGTAGTTTGAACATGATACTCAGGAATCGGATATAGAATAGTGGGATTAGTTTGAGCCTGATATCAAGGAATTAGATATGGAACAGGGGGAGTAGTTTGAGCCTGATATAAAAAAAATTGGATAAAGAATAGGGGGAGTAGTTTGAACATGATACTCAGGAATCGGATATAGAATAGTGGGAGTAGTTTGAGCCTGATATCAAGGAATTAGATATGGAACAGGGGGAGTAGTTTGAGCCTGATATAAAAAAAATTGGATAAAGAATAGGGGGAGTAGTTTGAGCCTGATATAAAATAAATCGGATATAGAATAGTGGGAGTAGTTTGAGCCTGATATCAAAGAATCGGATAAAGAACAGGGGAGTAGTTTGTGCCTGATATCAAGGAATCGGATATAGAATAGTGGGAGTAGTTTGAGCCTGATATCAAGGAATTAGATATGGAACAGGGGGAGTAGTTTGAGCCTGATATAAAAAAATTTGGATAAAGAATAGGGGGAGTAGTTTGAGCCTGATATAAAAAAAATCGGATATAGAATAGTGGGAGTAGTTTGAGCCTGATATCAAAGAATCGGATAAAGAACAGGGGAGTAGTTTGTGCCTGATATCAAGGAATTGGATATAGAATAGGGGAGTAGTTTGAGCCTGATATCAAGGAATTGGATATAGAATAGGGGAGTAGTTTGAGCCTGATATCAAGGAATTGGATATAGAATAGGGGAGTAGTTTGAGCCTGATATCAAGGAATTGGATATAGAATAGGGGAGTAGTTTGAGCCTGATATCAAGGAATTGGATATAGAATAGGGGAGTAGTTTGAGCCTGATATCAAGGAATTGGATATAGAATAGGGGAGTAGTTTGAGCCTGATATCAAGGAATTGGATATAGAATAGGGGAGTAGTTTGAGCCTGATATCAAAGAATTGGATATAGAATAGGGGAGTAGTTTGAGCCTGATACTCAAGAATTGGATGTAGGACACGGAGTATTAGATAGATTAGAAAATAGATTATAGGTTAAGAAAAGTATGGTGATTTAAGAGAGTCACCTGGAGTTTTTCCAAACAAAGATAAATATAAAACTGTTATAAAATAACTGGTACTAAAACATCTGACACACAATATTGGGGATTGTTCTCAACCTGACATTTCAGAATAGAAAATGAAGGGAGGGGTTGAAAACCTTTATAATAAAAGATATATTTGATCTTTTCTGTTTGATCTTTTTCTAAAGAAGGGGAGTCATTTGGGCCCATTAGGGGAGTTAGCTGGGCCTAGAGGGAGTGTTTTGAGCCTGGCTAGGGTAGTCATGCGAGCCGAGGCCCCAATGACTCCAGAGTCAAATTTAGGGGCAGTCGTTTGAGCCTACTACACCGGTTCAACCCGATTCTGCTTCTAGGGTTGTGAGCCCCGTACATGGGTTTCACCAAAGAGGTAAACGTCTGAGACCTGCATCACCTCGGGTTTGTGTCCCACATTATGCTGACATGTTATAATACGACTAGAATACAGCGTTAACCCAACTTACTCACCTTTCTCAACATGAAATAAAACAGTACAATAATTACATAACATACACAATTAATATGCAAAATATATAACTGTACTACAACTGGAAACGATCATGCAGAAATTGCTAGATACTGGCTTTACGTCGGATGAATTTATTTATATGTACATAGTACATACGGACATACTAATTAAAACAAGAGTAGATAAAGGTAGTACTTTAACATGCATGTAAGTGCCTCTTTCATTCTCGCATTCACGCATGCATTCAATCAGCCATCAAAAACATGCTAGCCTCACCAAATCACCGTCTGTCCCTGAGTGACCTCAGTTAAATTACTGATATTACCTTTAACACTAAATGTTTAGACTGAATTAGTAGTAATTATTTATTGGGTATAGAGACACATGTGACTTTAGACTAAATTCGGGATGTTTGTTTCTGTCATTGTTCACAATGTCGTGTAACATTGCTCGCCGTGATCCATAGCTGCCTTAGTGCAGACTATGGCATTAAACAATATTCACTCACGAACACATGAAGTCTATGTGCGGTTCACTTATACCAGACATAGTACAATGCAATGGTACAGATATTTCAAGGACACATTATTTTGATCTATGCAACCACTTCTAAGTATTCAACTATTATCCTACAGAGATCCCCGGGTCACGGAGGTCCACAAAAAAAAAATCATTTAATGTTTGTCCTAGTCTATTCATATTATATAAGCTTCTTTTTTATGTTATTTCCCCTCAAAAACACCTTGAACAAAACGATGACCAGTCAAGCTTTACTCAATCTTCTTATTAAATTGGTAGTCCTGGCAGCTTGAATTTTGTACTTTTCCTCGTCTTGTTATCACAGGCGATCGACTTCCTCATATATTTTCGTATTTGGTGTCTAAATGGGCCCTACTCCAACTCGCTTTCACCCCTCATGAACTGTACAATATCAGTTAGTACCAATAATCACGTAGTCGGCACTGCTTTTAACATCTAATGGTATTTCTTCAGATCTGTTTCATTAAAATATGTGGATTCTAACGCATCATATACACATGCACAAAAGTAAAGCGCCACCCACCATATTTGTGAGCTGTTACTTTTGGCACTTAATGATGACTATTATAACGAGATGTACGATTGTTATAGTGAGTGAGTGAGTTGGGTTTAACGCCGCTTTTAACATTATTCCAGTTATATCACGGCGTGTCAGCTTAATGTGGGAGGAAAGCCCAAATGATGCAGGTCTAAGACGTTTACCACTTCGGTGAAAGCCACGAGCACGAGTATGGTGCTGACAAACCTAGAAACATAATTGGGGCGAACCGGGATTCAAACCCACAATCATAGGTTTC